TCGGGTTTCTCCTGCATCAGTTGCTGGCCCTCCTGGCAGGAGGGGTGGAAGGTCGGAGACAGGAGGAAGAGGAGGTGGGTAATGGAAACAGACAAAGAGATACAGGACCAACAGGAGAGATGCGGGGAGAGAGAGGCAGAGGCAGGAAAGGACAGATGCAAACAGATGGAACCAAGGAAGACAGGCAAGAAACAGATAGGGTTGATGGGGGCAGACAAGAGAGCCCAACAATATGGGAAGGAAGTAGGGAAAGACAGTTGGTCACAAAGTAATGAACAAGGAGATATGTACACACGGTAGGACCGTGAGAGAGGGACAAAAGGAGGATGAGATAGAGAAGGAGAAAGGGAAAGAGGGGGAGGGGATGGGAGAAGAAGACGAAAAGGGGAAGGGAGCATGGAAGATAAGGGAGAGAAGGGGAGGGGAGGGGAGAAGAGGGGGGAGAGGCAGGGAGAGAATGAACTTCCATTAAGCTCAAGGTCCAGAAGACTGGCTTTGCCACACACTGTCCTTTAAGGGGTCGCTATGATCACTTAAGAGCATAAAGTGAACCTGAGTATTTCTGTTTGATTAGAAAAGTGGGGTTGCCCTGGGCTGCAGCTCTAAGGGTTCAACCAGAACAAGGGGGAGTTTAGGGAATTGATACTGAAAGCAAGTACCTGTCTAGGCCCTTCCAAAACTGAAGTCAACTGTCTTGGTGGCCCAGAGCTACATTTATGACATGTTACCAATAACAGATGCATGCTTTTAATCTCTGCATTTGGAAGGCAGAGGCAGGAGGATCTCTGTGGGTTTGAGGCTAGCCTGGTCTACAAAGAGAGTTCCAGGGGGGTCTCGTAAATCTGGGCAGTGGTAGTGCACACATTTAATCCCAGCACTCAGGAGGCTGAGGCAGCCGGATCTCTGTGAGTTTGAGGTCAGCCTGGTCTACAGATCATGTGTTGGGCTATACAAAGCAACCTGTCTTGAAAAACCAAATCCAAAACAAACAAAAGAATAAAAGACAAAACAAAAATAATAATACTGAAGTAGGTATGGTGGCTCACACATATTATCCTACCACTTGAGAAGCAGAGGCAGGGGAATCATTGGATGTTTAAGGCCAGCCTCATCTACACAGTGAGACTCTGTCTCAACAAATGAAATAATAACAATAGATAAATAAAATAAATAAAAAGAAAGCCAAGTGTGGTGGTGAATGCCTGTCTTCCCAGCACTTGGGAGGTGGAGGCAGGAGGACCAGCCATTCAAGGTCATCTTCAGCTACCTAGTGAGTTTGAGGCCAGCCTGGGCTACATGAGACCCTGCCTCAAAAAAACAAAAAGTTAAACAAAAAATTTAAAGGGCTGGGATTGTGGGTCAGTGGTAGAGTACTAGCCTAGCTGGTACAAGGTCCTGAGTTCCAGTTTCAGCAATGAAACAATAATAACTAAAATAACAAGAAGAAAAGAGAAAAGCTGGCCCTGACGTAGCTAGGTGGTGGAGCACTTGCCTAGCATGCATGAGGTCCTGAATTCGAGCACCAAGGGAAAGAAAACCCACAAATCAACAAAACCATAATAACGGGTGCCTGGTCTTACACCTCCCATGCCTGGTGCCTGGTGTTCTAACACACTTTATGTACTCAGAAACCCAGAGAGCTGGCTACACCTATTTGCTTATTTTTACTCAAAAGGGTAAATGGAAGTTGGATGTGGTGATGAAAGACTGTAATCCAGTACTAGGGAGGCTGAGGCTGGATGGTCTTGGATTGGAGGCCAGCCTAGGCTACATACCAAGACCATTTCTCAAAGAGCAAGCAAAAAAAGTAAGCCAGGGAGAAAAAAGAAGGAGAAGGAGGAGAAGGAGGAGGGGAAGGAGAAGAAGAAGAAAAAGTGGAGGAGGAGGAGGAGGAGGAGGAGGGGAAAGAGGAGAAGCCTAGGGTCTAGGAGACCAACGTAGTTCTCGTAAGGTATCACAGCTGGTTACAGACCCTGAAACTAGGGCTGAAAAAAAAAAAATCTAAATTTTAGTTTAATACAGGGCTTCCCTAGCCTGTGTCTAAGGCTTCCTTCCATATTAAATGACTGAAGTAATGTGAGGGGAAGTGCGGTAGGGTTTATAAGATGGGGGAAATGTTAAACAGGAGGCTCTGAGCAACAGTTGGAAGAGGTGAAGACCACTGTCCAGATGAGCAAACTGAAGCTCAAGGCTACAATAATGACTCCAAGTGCCACGGCTAGGAGCAAGCAGGCACAGGTTTGAACCAGCGGAGGGATGCCGGCCCGGAAGGAGGACAGTGAAGGCGTCAGCGTGAGGGTTGCCTCCGGGAGGGCGGCAGGGCCTTCCTCACCCTCTCGATCTTCTCCAGCCACTCCTTATTCTGAGCCAGCTCAGCCATGAACGCCTGGTGCCGGAGCCATCTCTTGTGCAGCTTGTGGCTGTCCTCCCGGGTGCCATCGCGGGCCATCAGCATTTTCTCGTGGATCCAGCCATCCAGCTGTGCGGGGCAGACAGGAGGGCTCAGGGGGTCCCTCTCCCCATCCGGCACAGCCTCATAACACCCCTCAGAAGAACTCCCGGGTCAGGTTCTTGGCTGATAGGAGTGAAGCTGAGAAGGAAATCTATGCAAATAAGGCTGACTGGAGAGGAATCTCCAGCCTTTCTTGGATAAAAGATGCCTATGTGGTCCCCCAATACCAAACCCTTGGGCTCTGCCAGCCTCGAGAAACCAAAGTGGGATGTCTGGGCCCATCACCCTCCTTCCACGGCAGGTCAAATCACCTTGTCAATCAGATGAACCTCCCGCCCTGGTCCCACCCATAGGAAAACTGAGACCCCAGGCTGGTGAGGGCTCAGCGGGTAAAGGTACTTGCTGCTGCCTGAAGACCTGTGTTCAGCCTCTGGGACCCACATGGTGGAAGCAGAGAACTGACCCTCTCACATGCTCTATGGTGAGGGCACCCAAAGATATATCCACATGTGAGATGAGTAGATAAATGTAATAAAAAATTAATATTTTAAGGCTGGGCGGTGGTGGCGCATGCCTTTAATCCCAGCACTTGGGAGGCAGAGGCAGGTGGATCTCTGTGAGTTCGAGGCCAGCCTGGTCTCCAAAGTGAGTTCCAGGAAAGGCACAAAGCTACACAGAGAAACCCTGTCTCGAAAAACCAAATAATAATAATAATAATATTTTAAAAGGAGAAAATAGTATGATCCCCTAATAAGGACCAAACCTTCGACTCTCAATATTTGAGGGGGATCGAGAATGCATGCTTGCCACTGGGCATTCCCCAGCACTGGGCAGGCTGGGAGAGGAGGAGATGGACTTTGTGGACAACCTAAGCTATATAGTAAGCCCCTGTTGATTCAATTTTTAAAAAATCCTTAACCTGCGCCACAGGTTGAACAAGCCCAAATCTAGTCCCAGCGCTCCCACGGTCAGACCAACACCCCCAAACAACCTCCAGACTATTTCCATGTTTAGCATCCTGATAATTAAGGCCTCCAAGCTAGAGGAGACCCAACCCTTGGGCCCACAAATTCTAATAAAACCTAAGTCCAGTGACTGTGACTAAGACACAGTTACCCCAAATCATGACCAGTCAACGCCCAAAATATGAGCAACAGGCTGCCTCCTGATTCCTAGAACCGATCTACCCCAAAAATGTAGGATTCCCAATGTAGATGAGATCAAACCCCCTGATCCAGCACTGCCCCCCCTCCAAGCTAACGTCATCCAAGATGCAAACAGCAAGAATATTCTCATTTCTCCCGATAGCAACAAACACAGGGCTGTTTTCTGAGCCCCTTCCTCCGCAAGAGTGACGGCTGAGCCGAGGGGGCTTGCTTGCTCAGCACGAAAAAGTAAGTTCTGGAATCCGGTTCTATCTCCAGCACTTGGGGAAGGGGAAGCGCTTATTAAACAAGATTGGTTTCCAAAGCCACAATCTCCTCCCGACCAAAGCCTGAACCTGGGACAGTTTGCTCCTCCCCCCTCCAGTCACAAGATCCTCCTCCTCCCTCCTGGTTAAAAAAAAAAAAAAAAAAAAAAAAAAAAAAAAAAAAGGCCGGACTCCGCGGTCCTGGGAGGCAAATGCAGTCATATTCAAGGACAAATCCCGAGCCGGCCAAACCGCACCCCACCCCACGTCCCCAGAGCGTGTGCTCCTCAGGGGGCCAGGACAGCTTCTCACAACACACACGCGCAAAGTCAAACGCCGAATTCCCCAATTCCCTACACAGGGATGAACACGCAACCGGAGTCCCACAGGGAAGGCAAAACCCCTAACGGAGAAGACAGACGTTCTCTAGGTAAAGCTCCCTAAACGGGATTGCCCGCTCTGGGTCACTCAGTGCAAGGCTAGACTCTCTCCACAACCTGGGGTAACCTCTCCGAAAGTCAGAGACCCTCGCACTCAGGTCCCAGCTAATACCTCATCTCCCTCTGCAGAGCCCCCCCCCCCCAAAGTGATGCACCCCATCACCCGAGACGGCTACGGACCCCGCAAGAACCGAAAACTCAAAACCCGGGAAATCCCTCAAGACCAGGGCAAATCTGATCCCCTCGTAGGGAGGTTGGGACCCCCTGCTTCGCCCAAACATCAAATGCAGACTAGCCTAGGCTAGCCCCCCTCCCTGCCCCCTCTCGCTGCGGCTCCAGCACCGCGGACAGCTCCCGGGCTCGTCCCTCCACCCC